ATGTTATATATAGGTGGTATAATTACTCAACCATCTGTCCCACCGACCATGACACTGGAAACTGTGTTTAGCTGTACGCTGCTCGCCTGGACAAGTCTCGGCATCGAATACGGTAGGGGAAAATCCTTACTCTTGTTAACAGACGCGACTTAATCAACTAGCTACTCACTCGACTGTGACCCCTAGCAACAATTGCGGCCTCGTGGAATTTAAATGTGTAGCCTGATCTCGTCAGAGGTGTCGCAACTCGCGAACTTGCGTCCTTTCTCCACATTGCTGCCGTGTGTCCAGCCATTGGCTTTACGAGCAGTTTTCCGGTTTCCCTGGTGTAGTTTCTATGTCCGCAACAGCACCGAACCCGATAAATGGCTTCAGATGTTTCCTGCCGTGGCAGTGGGTCATTCGGTCTCATTATCTGACGCCGGATGCCTACCTTCGGTCTGTGTTCAATTCCAAACCCAAGTAATGCGAGACGGTGGTCAAAGGCCTCCGAGATATACTGCGGTGTTCGTCAAAATTTGAGTCCTTGTTGTTTGGCCTTTCATCCCCTTTGCGTGGGTGTCGGTTGACGACCTTGGCTTTTAAGAATCGTGGAAGTAAATGTAGTCTGGAAATGCTGTCTTCCATCCTACCGCAGTGCGTTTCAACACACCGGTAGAACGTCCCTACACAACTGCGTTTGTCGCTGATTGGCTGGTTGCTGTTGAATTCCGGTACTTGCTTCATACTTTGCGCATTCCTGAATACATTTGTCCTTAGGTCACTACAGGTTTTGATTACAGAGCCTAGCGCAGATTTTTGAATGTCAATAACAACGAATACCTATCCTGTCAATCTATCCTATTCCTATCAGAGAGATTACGTTCGTTTGAAATTTGTATTGCAGTTCTGACGTCTGAAGTGTCTCTATTCCGACAATAACATTGTTTCTGGAATATTAACAACCGAAGCTTCCTTGCTGGACATGGCGGTTTAAAATCATTCTTGTCATTCGCGAAGTGCAGCCCGAAATGTCAGTTGTATTTGAGCACGCAAGTACAAGTATACCTCGAATGCTGCTGGCAAAACACAGATATAACGATCATGGTCTTCACGCACATTTTCGACCGATGGGAGTTCGCAAGGATTGTTACGTAGAACGATATGTAATTTCCATGACGACCGAGTCGCTAGCGACTGCGCTTAAAAGCCTTATAATCCTTGTGGAGGAATCATGAACCGTCAATTTCTTATGGAAAATGTGCCCAGCATGCCGTGAACTACGAATATAAGGGAAGTGTTCTGGGACGATCCGTCTTCTCCAGAGCTACCTAGGCGTGAATTCGTCCTGACTTGCATGCGTGAACCGCCATACTCATGGTCGTCTGGGAAGGGATGATCGAGAGTCACGGCGCCGGCGCTAAGAACAATAACTGCACACTGTCACCGTTGAAGGCAGAGGTGAAATACAATCTTCCCAAGAATAAAGTTTCTTCTTCTCTCAACGGCTTAAGTATATCTTGGATGAATTAATGATGACAGAAAGATAGGACACCTAATTTCGGACGCATTGACATCAACCAATATTTACAGATCAGGCCGTGATAACGGCAGCAAGGTCCAGCCGTCGCTGTGACGATGTCCACCGTGTACTCCACAGTACGCTGATACCAGGCTCCCTGAAGTGTATGTGAATTAGAATTTGAAGCATTTTGTCCCCAGGAGGAAGCTGAAGTAGGCAAGAAGGGCAGGATTTATTGGTACCAAAAAATTTCGCGACGGCTCCTCATCTGCGTCCTGTCGCTTCATAAGAGAGATAACGAGTGACAAGAATACAACAGATCTGAATTCGTGCAGAAAATCAATGCAGAAACAGCAAGGTCAAGGTTTTGGTTAAAGCTGGCTAATCAATAAAGTTAGCAACTCAAACACCGTAGGCCAAGAACGTGAAGAAGGCGGGAACTTTAAAGAGCAAAAAGAGAGGAGAAAGGGAAAATCGTGGAGCCAGAGGCTACCATGGCAATGTTAGGTTAACCACGTGTTCCAATTGTTGACAAAGATCTGGTTTCACTCGTCGTATATAGGCCGCCTCCAGGTAACGCAATGTCCGAGTTGTTCGTGCCCGAACAAGTACTCGGAAGGAAAGTTTGGGGTCGACGGAGTTACCACTATCAAGCAAGTGTTTCGTACTAGAAGAACGCGGGATTTTATTTTCTTGTATTAAGAGCCATCTGGGCAGGTGCTCAATAGACCTGACTGTCAACTGCCTTTGCGTGCGCCCAATGCACTTGCATCCGCAAGTGCATGTGAATTCATAAACACAATTTGAAGTGGCGTGCATTGGCAAGGCATTCTTTGCCCCTGGAATCGGAAGTGGCTTAGTAGGACTGCATAATACTAGTTCGGCTACATTGTATGTCCTTTCAATGGCGGAACGTAGCCGTCGTTCGATAGTACTTAAAATAGTGTCGCCCTTAAAGGGCAAAGATATAAAGATATAACCTTCCCGCCTTCTTCACTTTCTTGGCCGACGGTGTTTGAGTTGTTAACTTTATTAATTAGCCTGCTTTAACTAAAACGCTGACCTTGCTGTTTATGCATTGATTTTCTGCACGAATTCAAATATGTTGTATTCTTCTCACTCGTTATCTCTCTTATGAAGCGACAGGATGCAGCTGAGGAGCCGTCGCGAAATTTTTTGGTACCAATAAATCCTGCCGTTCTTGCCTACTTAAGTATGTGAATTAGTCTTGCAGAGCATCCACCGCACTCTCTTCTGCCCCACCTAGACCCGGTGTTAAGGCAGAGTCAAGAAGAGTGGAGTCGGGGGAGAGCGTAGGTGAATGGCACGGTCGAGCTCGCACCTTGGCGCTCCTTCTCGCGCCCCCTGGTCCACACCGTAAATGACCAGGATTTTAACTAACGACAACAATGGGGAGGAACGAAGGGGTCCCAGTGTGCGCGACGTCTCGGGTAACGGATTCAGCAACCGCACTCCGAGATGTTGGCATTTGTTATGGAGCTCAGCCAGATAACTCCTGCCCGAATCACATATGGCCTCCGTGTTGGTCCAGGGCTCGTTTGGAAGGCTCACGCCTACACACACAACATCGATTTTGACGATGTAGACCGTGTGCTCCGCTGATGGGTGAAGCAGACACGGTGACTTGCTCGTGAATTAGTTTATAGTGATAGCGGACTTGCGTTGCATCTACCGCACTCTCTCCTCTCCCCTCCCCACCTGGACCCATTGTCAAGACAGAGGCGGAGGAGGGCGCGGTCGGGCCCGTACCTTAACATTCAATTCCACACCCCATTATTCACACAGGAAATGACCAGGTTTTTGACCAACACCACCGGAAGCAGCAGTAACAACAACAACAACAACACCCAAACAGGGGTCAGAAGTACGAGGATGATGACTGGACAGCCATGCTCACCACCTGTATACCCAGCGGGAGCGCATGAGCATCCACCGGCAAGGAACCAGGTGTCAGCATACTGCCAGCGCATTCCAGCCTTCAAGAGCGATGCTTTGCTGATACTGACATAGCCCACGCTTTCAGACCTTTTGACCTAGAAGAGTGACACGTGATCTTGCCTTTAGTCTGTGCCGTCACCCTTCAAGGCTAGATAACCAAACAGTCATCGACTGAGAGGCGTTAAGCATAAAGCCCACACTCTCCCTTCACAAGCATGGGAGTTCACAGATCGCCTGAGAAAGGACGCTGACTGTCTGGCTCTCAGTCCACCAGTCCGCAACTCCATACCACTCACAAAATTGGGCAGACTGCGTACACTGATTTGCGGCGTCAGTCGGCTGTCTTCCGAGCCACGGCGGTCTTCCTCTCAGATTCCGATCGCATATTCAACAAGGGGACCGCATGGTGAAGGGGCCGAGGCGCATACTTCAAACTTGCGTGGGAGTTGGCAGTTGGGTGTTTACGCTGGATGATGGTGATATGCGGTGAGACGCTGGTAAGGGAGGACGTGATGGTGTGATGCAGTTGGGCGGTTCGCTACCGCAGGTTTTCCTGAACGCGCATGTGCTCTAGTAGGCCCATGCGTTGAATAAGTGCGGGAGTGCAGCGTGGACAGTGAAGGGGGATTCGACGGGTATAGGTTGGTGCTCCAGGCACTGGTTCGCCAGTCTCTGTGTGATGGATTCGTAAGTGACCGACAAGGCCGATGTTTGATATAAACGTACGGGGACAGCGTGGACATGAGAAGTCGGTGTTGTCAATATCAGGTTTGTTGATGGTAGAGCTGGTGGTGGTGGTGGTGGTGGTGGTGGTGGTGGGCGCACTGAGCGACTGGGTGTGAGTTAAGCTGATCATGGTGGGTGTGCAAGACGTGTTGAGTTTGATGGAGCTGGTGGTGCGCTGTGAGGCGGAGTGTGGGCGGGGCTAGGCATGGTGGGTGTGCTAGATGTGTCGGGACTGCGGTCAATTCCGCTCTCGTGGATACGCTTGTGGCCAAATAGGCCCATGCGGTGAATGAATGTGAGTGGGCAGTGTGGAGAATGGAGGGCGATGCGGCAGGTGTAAGTTGGTGCTTAAGGTACTAGTTCGCCAGTCTCCGTGCGATGGATTCGCAAGTGACCGAACAAGATTGTGACCAACAACAGCACTAGAACGGGTCACAAGGCGACCATGCACATGACCTGTATGTCCATCGGGAGTCCAAGTGCCTCTACTGACGGAATCAGGTACTACCAGTGTACAATAGGCTGTGATTGCCGCATTTAGCCTGGTTCATCGCTCTTCAAACGCCGGATCACCAGTCAGCCAACGATTAGGAAGCACCATCCTCACTAGCGTGAGAATGCCACAGGTCACTTAAGGAAAGAAACGTTGCAGCCTGACTCGCAGCATATCAGTCCGCCATTACATACAAGCACACACAACTGGGCAGACTGCGTGGACTGAGTTGAGACGTCAGTCGGCAACCTTGCAAGGCAGGACTCTTGACGCAACTTGATAGCCCCACACTCCAATCACGCATGTAGCAGAGGGTGCACATGGGAAAGGAGCAGGAAAGCACACTTTCCACTAAAGTGAGAGGTGGCAGTTGAGTGCTCGCGACGGGTTATGTTGCTGTGTGGTGCAGTTTCCGGTGGGTGAAGGCGTGATGGTGTAGTTGTAGCGGCTAAGCGGTGATGGTGTACGCCCAGTACGCCACAACTTCAGGCCATATCCCAAGTTGTTAGAAGCAGGACGCCATTTGTTTAGGACATTTTATTCTGTACAGAATAGTGAAGGGGAAATTTGGCAACCGGACGAGGATGCGTCCGGTGCCGCGCAGACGGCGTCCGCGAGAGCGACGAGCCCTGTGTCGCCGAAGGTCGCCGCTGCAAAAGTGTCATTGCAGATTGTTTACTCTATTGTTCTGGACTGTTCCCGCCTGTCTTACCAATCAGCAATAGGAGTTGCGTTGATTGGCTCCGAGCCCACGCGAAGGTAGTGACAAGCCTCGCGTGGTGTAGGCAGAGAATTGCAAGGAGACAAATCGAAGCCGGGCAAACGTGCGTGCCATAGCAGGCTGTCGCTAGAAAGTAGGTGCAGGCGCTAGCGAGAGGCGCGACGCAGCCATTATGGCTGTCCACTACATAGTATAGCTGGTAATTGCCTACCACAGATTTCATAAATGCGCATGTGGCCTAACAGGCCGATGTGCTGACTGCAAGTGTGGGGACAGTGAGGGCAGTTGGGGAGGATGCGACGAGTGAAAGTCGAGTGCCATGTTTTGCCAATTATGGTAAAGCTAAAGCTTACAAACCACGGGGCTCAGATGGGTTACACACCCCTGCATTTGCCTGGCACACCACTCTCCGAAGGCCGGTTGCCAAGTCAATCAGTGACTGAAAGGCACGAAACACTAAGTAATACACATACCTTACGTGCGCGGTAGTGAAATGTCGACAACGGGCTCGACCAAGTACGTCCAGGGCAGTCTAGTGGATGACGATCAGCATTTGACTTCTCCCAGTCTCCACGTTGTCTTAGTCGTTCGGGGATGGCAGTTTTACCAGGTGCTAGGCTATCTGATTGTCGATGCTCAAGCGGTGATCATTCAAATTCGAAAGAACAGTACTCTACTTAACTGTGGTCGTTTACCTTGTGGCCTCCTGTGGGGCTCCCCTATCTTGGAAAAGATGAAGCGAATTTTTGTCTTTTGAACAAGAGCATGGGCTCACCGGAACGGGTTTACTGAGATACTGACGTTTCGAAGAACTTGGTCAGCTCGCAATTTTCAAAGCGTGAAGTGCCCTATGTCGAGCAGAAATCCTAAGTGGTATGTCATGTTGATCGGCCTCGTGCTGATCGAGTTTCCTCTCCTCTCGCTGACTCGGCCTCTCCAGTGATGGACTTTTGTCTGCGGGCTTCGTGAGTCACCGCTGCGTTGGGGGGAGGTAATTGGACTTTTGTAGGGTGATCGGTTTGGCGGTTCTTTTTTCAGTTTATTTGGTAAGGATAATAGGCAAGGCCTTTGAAAAGCCTATTGATTACATGTCAGCTCGTTAGAAATAACTGTATACGAAAAATTAAAATATCCAATATTAAAACAGTATTTGATTTATTTGAGTAGCACTGTCTCAGAAAATAAATTGCGGAGTCGAGGGGTATTTAGATCAGATTCAGATTGTCGGGGGAAAACCGGGGACACAAATGATCATACGGACGTTTCTTGAAGAGTTGCAAAGACGTCGCCTCCACGAGAGAGATCGTTCCATTTCTACACTACTCTTTGCATGAAAATTTCCGAACGAAGATTCAGCCTGGGCATTGTTGTCCGTAGCTTCATCGAGCGACAAGGAAAATTGGGTGAAAGTTGCCACTGAAACCTGCCCTTAAAGCTAAGTCCATGCTCAAGGCCGTGTATTATCTTGTAGACGAGGATATGAACACCCCTCATTGCTGCCTGTAACACAGAGGGAATAAATTAAGGCCCTTCAGTCTGACTGTGAAGGCTCGACATTTTAGACCGTTTGGCAGATTTGTTGCACGGCGTTGTACCCGTTCGTGCACAACCCCTGTTAGGTAAAACTTTGTCTGCGCGGGCCAGGTCGTGTGTGTGGCACGCTCAGACGAGGCCAGTCGCTACGTCAGTCACTGCGCCCATTCCCCGCACCCGCCCTACCACCGAGACCAACTCTGCAACTACCTACCTTTCGGCCTGGTCGTGCGTTTACAAATCCATCGTTCGGATACTGGTGAGCCAGTGCCTGGACGACCAACTTTCCACATTGCCCTCACGCATCCAACCACCGCATGGGTCTGCCACGTCCCCTGGGCATTCAAGAAAACTTGCGGTAAATCACTGCAGGCACGGCCAGATCACAACACGTTCCCCTATTTAGGACATGCACCACACATGCACCCGTCCAAATTCTCTAAGCACCAGCACCTCCTACGTAAGTGGGAAGTTTTCTCTCTGGCTTCTTGCCCTGTGTGTTTCCGCTGCTGCATATTTGGTCCGAGCCTGAGGATCTTACGATGCGCCGATCGCCGCGGCTTCAGAGGCCACCAACTGACGATTCAGTTCAGTCTGCGCAGTCATTCCAGTTGTATGTGGGTGTTTTGGAAGCTTGACTGGTGGGCAGACAGCCAGGTTAAAATGGCTCCTTCTTAACGTGACCACTAGCAGCCTCACGCATATGAGATGGCAGATGCATATGTCCTGTTATAGGAAACCTTGTGTTTGCGTCTGTGGAGGCCAGGTCGCGTGTGTGTGTGTGTGTGTGGAAAGCGCAGACGAGGTCAGTCGTTACGTCAGCCACTGCGCCCATTCCGCGCACCAGACAACTGAGCGGCTCGGACAGTGGGTGGGGCTTGGGAATGAAAAAAGGGAGGCCAAGGGCTTAGTGCATTTTCCACATGATCCTGTGCTGGAGCACACCGCAGACATCGTCGGCAACGACGGTGGTGGTGGTGGTGGTGCTGCTGCTGCTGCTGCTGCTGCTGGTGGTGGTGGTGGTGGTGGTGGTGATGCTGCTGCTGCTACTGCAGCTGCTGCTGCTGCTGCTGCTGGTGGTGGTGGTGGTGGTGGTGGTGGTGGTGGTGCTGTTGGTGGTGGTGGTGGTGATGATGACGATGACGATGATGATGATGATGATGATGATGATGATGATGATGATGATGATGATGATGATGATGATGATGATGATGATGATGATGATGATGATGATGATGATGATGATGATGATGATGATGATGATGATGATGATGATGATGATGATGATGACTGATATGTGGACAGCAAATCTACTGCTGGTTACCCTTCCCTTGACTTAACCGATTTGTTTATAATTTCTATCACAACACGCCCCGATTCATTTTCTCTGATAAATACCACCACTTGAGACGATACTCTCGTCTACGTTCATTGTACTGACACGTAGTAGTTCTAGCTTTCACTAGTTGCACACCGTTCTAACTGCTAAATATAGATGTAGTTAGGACGCCGCTTAAGCATACGCCCACTCTTTTTGAGTATTATACTCGGTTTGCCTGACACTGCAAAAAATCGTAGTCTTGTGAGCCTCGTAAACTCGCCTCGTTTTTGCCTACATGTGAACAGAGGTTCAGCAGATCACATGGAATTCATTGATTCAACTACACATATCCTAATCGCCTTGCATCGACGCACTAACACGAATGCATTAACTGTTCAGCCCATTAAACTGCAGGATTTTAAACCCCACCGGGGTAATGGACTTCACAGGCTAGGCGCTTGTCAGCTGACAGAATTCTTTGGGCATTTTTGAATAAAATGCTCTCCTTACGACGTTGCAGGGAGAAGCGTAAAACACAACTTGGTTGCTGGATCACGCCACCGAATTCAACGTTTTCATCCAAATGCATGACGCCGTTCGCGCATGCTCAACTGACAACTAGGTGGGTCAAGTAGCTGCTTCGGTCTGACGAACGCTGAATCGGCATTTAATAGTCATAAGTGCGGCCTGTCTCAGCAATCCGAATGCCTTGTTACACAGAGCACTTGAACTGGTCACAAATCGCCAGGACTACAGTCACAAGTGACGCTAGCTTGATATGAACTTGCCACAGACCGCACCGTGCTCCCATTCAAGAACTTCCATGATCAAATTTTAAAATAAAAATGGACGGAATAAAAGTGTACCCTCACTTACTCTTACAGCGTATATATGGTTAGGAGAGCGTACAGGAATATTCAGGTTATGACTGTAAGTCGGTCCATTGGGTAATGTCCTTGAGTAGCAAGTATTAATGGGACGCTAAGAAAAAAGTATGGTCTTCCAGATCAATTACTAGAAAAGTGTTATACGGTATTTTTCACTCCTTTAAGCAATTATATAATCATCATACTCATCAATCACTGCTTCCCATCTTGCAACCAAGGTTCACTATTCCTTTTTATAAGAGGACGTCTGGTCTAATGGAAAGGATTCCAATAGTCCAGTTTTGACAACAGTTTTGATATTGCGAAAGATTTTCAAGCCCCGGATGTACTACCGGGATCTGAGCATATGATAAACAATTAGCGCGAAATCGAGATCTTCTTCTGGTTCTGTCAGGCCAAATGTGGTCTCTCGTTGTCATGACACCCTTTCCTACTGATTAGTGCTGGATGTTTAACTGCAAGAATAGGTTTCAGGCGTACCGATTGTTGACAATAGATGTTGCCGTTATGGTCTGACCTTGTTCTTGTAGATCAAAGAAAAGTATGCCTGCCGTACTCCACCAAGCACACAGCAAGACTTTCTTGACGTACGGGGCAAACCACTTGTGTCTGGACTTATTGCTGTCTTAAAGAATATATTTACCATCTACAGCGATATTTCGGGAAGAATAGTTTTCTCTACTGCACGCTTAGCAAAAGATTAGTGATTGAGGAACTGTTGGCTTTGCTTTTGTTATCACTCAACATGGGATCCAAACCTCTTGTCAACTGACCTTCGCTATGTGTCGAAGGTGTTCCTGAACAGTAGAAAATAAAGGGTATGATCGCATTTTCTAGCCGAGCACTGTACGTCTATACTGTCGACGAACTTACTTGTTATCGGTAGGTGTGCTTACCTTGTCTAGGGAACTGTTATCGGTAGGTGGGCTTTTACTGCATGAGGTAGATCAGCGTTTCGGTCAGGCTGTTGGGTTTAGTGAGGGTTACGGTTAGTCGTACATTAGGTTTGAGGATTAGGATTTGGCTTATAGGGTCCGGCTTCAGTGTTAGGATTAGGGCTTAGGTTTACGATTATGGTTTGGCTTTAGGATTGGGTTGCGGCTTTAGGGTTAGGATTACCGGTTAACGAATAATGGTTCACGGTTAAGGCAAGGGGTTACAGTTAAGGGTAGGGTTATAGTTAATTTGAGGGTCAAAGTTAAGGTTAGGGTAAGGTTTAGGTTGAGGTTAGGGTTAAGTTTTGAGGTTAGGGTTAGACTATGTGTTTTCCAAGTAAGTTTTCGAATCTTAGCGTTAGGTTTTTCGTATAAGGTTTCGTTGTTATTTAGCATTTTGGCTTGTCTTACTAAAATTTCCCAGCATTTATTTTGATAAATTTATTTTCTTCCAGAAACTCCAGCTTTCCCCCAGCAGCACTAAAACGTGCTTTACTCATACAAACCCCTTTCCCACCATTCCTCTAAGACAGGGAAATCGCTGTCTGCCTCCTCATTCCTGCGATCTAACCAAATAAAGAACTTGGTTTTTCTGATAAGTCCTTAATGTTTTAGTGAGGATCGATCTCAGCAGCTGCGCGCTCAAGGTCACTGTCTAGGTCCATTGGTCTTCCAGTACGGTGGGCATTGGAGAGGTCAAAAGTTGCCCGATAGGAGTTTTGCAAATCAGAGATAGCACATGGAGACATCTAAAACAGTCGAATAAACACCACAGCTTGTTTTTTCGGCCTCTGTTGCGTTGGTTCTCTTGCGGACTTCATACAGCAAACAGTAGGCAATATAGCTGCTTTCGGATTTCGCGTCTACCTTTTCGTTACATCCAATCTAAAAAAACAAAATGGTTTTACAAGCAGTTGGATCATACGTCGAAGATGGAACAACAATTTGACCGTCGATTTCGACGACGACCACCGCTTGCCCCGCAGCAGGGTGAAATAATGAATGGTGAATCACGCGTGAATAAGTTTATAATAATTATAGTAGACTTGCGCAGTAACTGCACACTGTCTCCGCCACTACCTGGGCCCATCGTCAAGGTCAAATTAAGAAAACCAGTGGCACTTGATGGGGTAGGTGACGGGAGTGGCGAGAACACGTACCTAGGCGTACCACGACTCTCTCTCTGGTCTACAACAAACCCTTGACTAGGGTTTTATGCTTCAAGAAGAAAGGAGGATGGCGCAGAGGGAGGAGAGGTCGCTCGGATCCCACTGGGTGCCACAGAGGCCACATTGAGGAGGGGTTGGAGTCTGACCCCCAGTTCGCTGGTCCGTCACCCCGCACAAACACTCAATGGACTGACTTTGAGGTAGCGCGGACGTAAACACCTTACAAACAACATTCAAATTAAGACCAGAGATGTCCACAATATTGTGCCTGAATTTCCGACTCATGTGACTCGGCATTAGTATGTGCATGGTGAGTGGGCGGATCGTTAGCGCAGCTGAGTGGCACGAATTTAGCATCGGGTTAATTGACGATGGTACTGTTTGCATTCGTCCTCGACCCCCTCGTCTATATTGCTGAAGAGTTAGTCTTAACCCCGAAATGTGTTTTTGTTGCAGTTCGGACGAGTTGATAAGCCCAGTAGTTCCAGCGTCAGATTTATGTCTGGCTTTTAAACATCAGTGTATTGTTTGGGCCTCAGATGATTTACTGGTGACGCTCTAATGGCTAATTTAACCAGAAACTCCTAGACGTCACCATACATTCAGCGAACACGTCCAAGCGTCCTTTTTTCCTATCTCCTCCTGTAGTCTTTTGTCATCACCTTCTCACCTGGATGGAACGAACGCAGTTTTGCTCCATGTCGTCAGTAAAATTGCCTTTCCATCAATGTCGGACGGAATGTTTCGCGGTCACCATTCCGTTTTCATCGCACCGACGTCGTCGAGCAAACCACATTGAATGATTTACGAAGGTTGTTCCCCATCTTAGCTTCTGCGGGAGAGAAGCCGAAGTATATCCCTAGGATAACATATTTTAGCAGCGTATACAAGGCTACAAGGCGTATACGAGAATGCCCAGGATGGGGCTGAAATTCGGCCAATCAGATATTGGCTTTGAGTAGCTGGTATGTTGGCTAGACTTCTGATTCATCCACCTGTCTGGGTAAACCTTCGATCATTTGAGGAGGTTGGTTCCGCTCGGCATATGCGCGGCATTGTAGCAGCCGGAGATCTGAGCAGAGGCCTCATCTTGGTTGTTTTAATCGACACTTACGTTGGATTGCATTCTTCCGTTCTTTCCTTCAGGGGGCGGACCACCAAGTTCATGTGTGGACAAATAATCGTCAACGACATGTCGAGGTCTTAAAACGTTTCATAATTGGAAACTTTTTTAAAACCTAATTATTTTCCTTTCTTAAGTATAAAATATAAAGCAGACGTGATTATCTATTGTTTGACTAAAAGAAAGCATATTTTCGTTTGTGGTTTCTATAAAGTATATTTGAATTTCCAAGACCATCGAAAATCAATGGGAAAAATACATGCTACTTAAGTAGTCATTTTTTTACTCAGCACGCTTTCTACAGGAGATTGGCAAGAAGTGCATTTAAAAGCCGACATCCTGCCGAGTCAGAAATGTTATAAGAGTGTGCCTTAAGATAATCAGTATCACCACGGCGACCAAGTAATCCTTCCTAATCGAAAACGCTTTTCACAATTTCAGCCAATATTTCATGAGATAGGTCACTCACTGTAAATGTTTGCAAGTGAAGGTGATGCCAAAAATGCGTTTTTGTAAATTAAACATGTTTTCATGGCATTTTCATTGAAATCACGCCAACACTTTCTGCCGCCGACGTTTAAACTGCCACACCACCTGTGGTGGTTTCGCTAAAAGCCGCGACGCGATTGAGGTATGCATAATTCCTAAATTGGCAACTTCCAATGACGTAGCCAATGACTGTATTCCACTTGGCGAATGACGAACACGGATAGCTGGCGATAAAAGCACAACGAGTTCTATGTAAGATTATTAGTATCTCAGACCTCAACTACGATGTTCCAGAACGTTCCGTGCCCGAACAGACTTCTGATTTTGACAGTGGGTCTCCTCAATTGTCTCTTAATTGCAGGATGGTGGATCGCCATCCATCGGAAGACCCCTTCAGGCAGAAATGCAGGCGACTGCAAATCCGACTGGCAACACGTCGTTTACTGGCCTGAGACAAACAGTTTTGAGTTGTCACTCGTGGTGCATGCTGCGAACGATGGTCGCGGCATCAGCAGAAGTGTCGACCGACGCATTCATGCTCGACAAATCTCACTGCGTCATCCACGTCAACGAACCTATACGTTTGCGGAGATGGCCGAGATCGAGGATGACAACTGGAGACGCCCGATCCGCCGTTCGAATTACCTGCTCTACCCACAGGCGCTGGATATGAAACAGGTGGTGGCAGACATAATGAGCTGCCGTTCCGTACCAGAGGTAGGTGTGGAAAATAAAGAAAGGTGAATCATCTGCTTCCGTGGTATCCATCTAATGAAGCATTTAAACTGCACTTTTTGACTGCAGTATATTCTCGCAGTTGAAACACACTACCAGTGAACATAAAATATATTCAGGTCATCATTCAAGTACATAATCGGACGGGCTTATGCTTGGATGTTCATTCAACAACCAATGTATATTTCACCAATCAAAGGTCGAAAGTAAGAAGTAGGAATTTTCCTCATAAATCTATAGCTTCACAGCAGTGAGGATGCCTGTAGTCTGAGCGCTAACTTAATCAGGGCAAACCCTAGCGTCGGAAGGAGTAGACAGAAGGAACCAGAATGAGGAGTTTCATGTAAACAAGATCCGCAGTTGTCCTCTCCGGCGGCAGTGACCACTGGCAAAGCCAGGGCTGGTGATGACTACGTCCAATCACGCCTGAGAGTCCCCAAGAGAGTGGTGGCAGCCGCTTTTGTAGGCTCGTGGTCCAAGCGCAAGTGGTGGCTAGTCAGTGTGTGTTGCATTTGCCGCGGGCTGGTGTCCCAGGGGCTTAGTTTGTGGTTGCAGAGGAGAGGTTCGTCCAAGTAGCCGCATGGGCTGCTGCGGCTGTGTGGAGGCAGGTATGTCCGAGCTGTCGGTCGTATGACTTCAGGTCAGCTCGTCTGGAACCGCTCACAGGAAAAGGGTGAAGTACTTTGAGGCAGCGAGGTCTTGAACAATGACGCCAGACCGGTCATGATGGCTGCCCGCTGCGAATCGTCGAGATTTTTGTCAATTCAGTCATACGTCTGACGCCATTCTCCTTTTTTAGACTTGATGGTGCGTTTCGGCTTTTGGTGCTCTGTACTGAAGCGCATTTCGCATCCTGTGGAATCTTCAGAGAGCCCGAAGAGATTGCGTGCCATAATAAACCGTCGAAAATTACTCGGGGTATTGTGGACAGACAGGCTAGAAATGCACGGCCTAAACCCATCATCCTGTAGTTCTTGGAGAAGTTGTGCATGATGTCTCCTCCCCGTTATCAATGCAATCGAATTTAAGCTTGCCAGCCCTCTGCGCAACACACTTAAGAGTAGGCAGGAAAACACCTGATGAAGTGGTAACTTGACAGTTTGGGCATTTTCTGAAAATCAGAATTATTTAACGTACATCAGGCGATTAGTGAGCAGTTATGTCTGCATAAATAGCTACATGTTGAAATTAATGCCGGCGAAATACTGAAAGACATACCTCTCCGTTTTGTCATGCACTATGGAAGTAGTAACTTGGTGCTGTGTTCGCGTATTTTTGTGCTTCCGGTCCAAACTTCTGGTAAGGCTTCTAAAGAGGAAAGTTTTCTTACGGTAGACAGTTCGACGAATCCCCTCCATCTAACTTAGTCAGTGACGAACTACTTATACGACTGTTCATTTTAACGCATTTTGCACAGTGCATTGCGTCTCATATGCCTGAGTTGCCTCCTCTCCCTTTTATAGGCTCCCATATTTAATCAAACGATCAGATTCTTCAACATCAGCTCGACTGTCTGCGTGCCAGGAATAGCCGTCAAAGAAGCTCTGGATGCTATCGTAGTGGTTAAGTCAGCCGTCTACAACTTTGCAGTTCGTGATCGCATTCGGAGGACCTATGCCAAAGAATTCAAGCGTGAACATGCTTTCCGCATGGCCATGGTCTTCTCCGTAGGGTTACCCCGAAGCAGCGGGGGTCGGTACTTCCAGCGCGACGGTTTGAACATCTCACTTCCGGGCCGGGCGGGCGAGTCGCTGGAGAAGATGCGGCATGAAGGTCCAGCAGTTCTCAGAAAACTGGCAGAAGAAGCTCGAGTCAACGGTGACCTCCTACTGGGTGACTACGAGGATACCTACTATAACCTCAGTCTCAAGTTATTCCACACCTTCCAATGGGCTTCTTGCTTCTGTAGTCCGCAATTCACCTCCCAGCAACGACCTCCTGTCTTCATTCTCCTGGACGATGACTATGCCTTCAATGCAACCATTTTGAAGACTGAACTGATGGCACTCTCGGACACGCAAATTCGACGAGTGACCTGGGGCATGCTGCAGAGGAGGAGGCCAGTGTATCGTCCTCGCGTCTCGCCAGGTTTTGAAAAATGGATCCTCTCTAAACGCCAAATGCCCTGGCCCTACTTCGCGCCTTACGCCTCTGGCGCCTTCCTTGTCATCGGCGCCGACATTCTTCAGGAAATTGCCCTGGCCATGTACTTCACTCTTCAATTTCCAGTTGACGATGCCTGGTTAGGCATGGTTATGACAAAGTTGGATGTCTACGCTGAGCCACGTCCATCAATGCATATCTCCTGGCCAAGGGAGTTAAGAAAGGAATTGGTTTCGTTTGCACCCCTCGACTACCTCTTCGGCTAACAATAGCTATAATGTACACCCACCAGGGAAGCATTTACTTGAATATGCTAGTACATTGCGTCTGTATGGAACGCTTTTATTAATGAACGAACTTTAATTTTGAAGTGATATTTCTTTTGTTGATTTCACCACATAAAAACAGTGTGGAATTAATGCCATCTGATATTTGTAAGCAATTTGCGGTTTCAGGTTTCGCTAGTCCGAATCCCCGTATTTAGTGGTGTTGATCTAGAATTCGGTAAGAACATGGGCGCGTTTTGACCAGGAAAGTACCTGGAATTTCCTCGTATAATCCACAGCGATACCAAATACTTTGCCAGCACGTTGATTGCAGTATCAACAGATACATTCGGTAGATGGTTGCGCAGTAGTTTTAATGGGTAATGGAATGGCGAATAGACGACTACTAAACAGCCATCATCAACTCATTAGAGCAGATCTTTGACGAATGTGATAAGAACTATGTGACGGTCACTGATTCCAGTAAGAAGGCAGGGGTCTATTGACTTCCAGTCTTACATCGCAATAAAGCCACTTTCATTCAATCTTCTGCGTCGCTACGTACGATTCTTAAATTGCGAATCAAGGTATTTATCGACAGAGGACGGATTTGGTGCCATACCCATCGCCAACACATAAAACAAATATGGAATAAGAAGCTATTATGATAATTACTTAGTTTTCGGTGGAAAACGTGCACGCTGCCTTCTATACTGACTTAGGAGAATGTTGGCTGTGGGCTATGTTGCGTTGTTTGATTCAACAGAAGTGGTTCCTGTTGGGTCTGCCCCGACGACCATCTAAAATTGAGAAATGTCAGTAGCATTGTCTTTGTCTTAAATCTGAACGGAAGGTATATTTTTGAGTGGAATTCTGCTTTTATCAGTGGATGAGCACAGCTGACTTTCTGTTTAGAGTTTACCCCCGGGCAAGCTTGAGCGTGCAGACCCTACTTTTATCCTTCCAAATGACTCGGTTGGAAAATATCGGAGAAAAGCGTAGGTCATTCTTAGCAGGAATGTAGCCGTGTATAAATACTCATGTCGGGGGTGAATAGGTGGCCCCTTCGGTGCACGCTAAAATGAGTTCATTACTTAACCGACACCAGATAGCCACGTTTATTGACATACAGGTCTTTCACTGCACCAAATATGCGGAGAGAGGAAGAAACATATTCAACACATTGATTTTCGATGATTTTGCAAATTAAAATATATTTTACAGAAAACATAAACAAAAATATGCTTTCTTTCTTTCCTTTGATAGAGAATCACGTCGTCTTTATATTTTTTGCCGAAGAAGGGGTATAATTAGGTTTTGAGGACGTTTCTAATCATAAGGTTTTTCAAGACGGTTCAATGCCCATTCATACAGCATCGTACCTGTCTGTTTACCACTGCTCATCATCAAAAGCATAACATGTTCCGCATCCATTGCAACATTTTATAGACTCTATATGATATCTTTTTGAAGACATAGAAGGATATGAGATTTTCTTTACGGGGAACACATGCATTTTGTGAACTCTAACGACTAAGAGCTAATGCAACGGCTCATCAGGCTCCAAATTATTTGGGAATTAAAAAACTTTTTTAAATCTTACCTAGAATCCTTTCTCGCTTATAAATATAAAGAAGCGGTGATTCTTTATCAAACGGCAAAAAGGAAGCATATTTTTGTTCGGGGTTTTTATAAAGTATATTTCAATTTTCAAGACCATCGAAAATCATTGCAAAGAATGCATGCCACTTAAATAGTCATTTTACCGAGGACGGTCTCCAACAAAGATTAAAATGTAGAGCATTCAAACGCTGACGTGCTGCCGAGTCCGAAATATTTTAGGACCATGTCCTAAGCTAATGAATGTTTCAACCCCACCTAAGTAAACTTTCCTAGTCGAAAACACATTTCAGAATTTCAGCCAACATTTCATGAGATCGGTCATTCACTGCATGATTCCTCCAGGTTTGGACGATCACGAATTTTCGTCAAACATTCCAAGAACCTTTATTAGCATACAAAGTACTCAAAATTAGGCTTGAATGGGTGTTTCTAAGTTTAAAATTTGTATAAAAGTGGAGGATGAAAACAAGGGAGGATAGTTTGAAAAGTTAGGCCAAAGTGGGATTGTCACCGGCTACAGCATGCAGCGTGACGTCGAACAATCAGTCTGCCCACAAATTATCTGAATACCTATGACCACCTCAGTTGCCAGTGGGTTAGTCAGCCATTGATGCAAGACAGAGTCTCCGGGGTACAGTCTTCTGTGGTTACACTGAATGGCCCTGCCGAACTGAGGGGAACAATGCTGACTGGCCTTCTTGCAGCTTCTGCGTCTTTAGTCGCCGCAGGGTAGGTGGCATCTGCCGTGACGGAACTCCAAATGCCCGCTCCTCGTAGCTGTCATCCAGATCCTGCAGGTCGGTAGGCATCCTGGCGAGGGAGGAGAAGACGCCAGTGGAGACCGCCTTTTGCCATTCCTCTTGCCACTGGCGCCACCAGGGCTTCTCGAGGGCTCGCATTCGCAGCAGATGTTGCACCCTCGCCAGGGACGCGATTGGCTGACTGCGGCAATGCAACAAGGACCCATCTGGCCTTGAAGCTAACCGGTCCGCAGCTCGAGCCAACGCTGTGCCACCCTGAGTGATCCCTTCAGGCATGCCGCTCAGCTCATCAGCCAGCAGCTGGGCGTCGGACAGAACCTGCGCCATTTTAACCGTTCGTCTACTTTCCTGGAAGGAAGAAGAAGGAAGGTTACAGCGTGCAGCAGAACTTGGACACACTCGTATTTTGATGTGGACGTTCCAGTCAAGGTACACGGCTCTTCCCTACTCCTCCCCCCCCCCGGGATCCTCTTTTTTCAGGCATTGCTAGCAGTACGCACCTACTGCCCGTCAAAACTTACTCCTCTTGCTTGGCGCGTGAGCCCCTCGCCAGCTGGTCTGTTAGTCTTCGCACATCTCTGACCTACAGTAGGTGAGCTAACTGACGACCTGTCAAACGAAATTCCGAAAAGCGTTTTCGTTTCGAAAATATTAGTTTAATAGGGTTGTAAAACCAATCATCTTGCAGCATAATTCTATAATAATTCGGTTACGACAGGACGCCAGCTTTCGAAGAAACTTCTTTCTGGCTGTAAAAATGACTAATTATGTAGCATGCATTTTTCTCATTCATTTTCGATGCCCTCAAAAATTCAATTATATTTCATGGAGGACATGTATATAGACATTCATTCTTCTGCAAGGTCGGTAGAAAATGACGGCTTCTATCAATTTTATTTTCAAAGCAGGGGTATAAGTCGGATTTTCAAACTTTTCCGATTTCCAGATAATTGTGAACATGACCGGCCGTTCTACTTGCATTCAGGTTTGCCAAACTACAGGCCGAATATTTTCCGTGTACGGAAAACCTTACATTTCTCCACGGTACTAAGAGAAGACCATATGAGGGTCATAGAATTTAGCAGTGGATTTGAGCCATATTGTTAACTGTACAAGCCGCCTTCGCAAATGCAGAGACATGACGTTTTATGAACGGCCGTTTCATGGTATTAAAAAATCTCACAATTCGAAACTTTTTAAAACCGAATTACGCCCTTGCTTCGAGTATAAAATTGGAAGAAGACGGCATTTTCTACCGAATGAGCAAAATAATGAATATTTTTATGCATGCTTTCCATGAAATATAATTCAATTTATAAGGGCATCGAAAATCAGTGGGAAAAGTGCATTCTCATTGTGTAGTCATTTTTACAAAGTTTACTTCTTTCATACGGCCGGAAAGAAGTTATTTTGAAAGCCAGCATCCTGCGGTAACTAAATTTCTATAAAATAATGCTGCAGGATGAGTAGCTTTACCACCCTGTTTCGTTAATCTTTTCGAGACAAAAATGCACTTCTAAATTTCGGTTGACAGTTCATGAGTTAGCCCACCTACTGTATGTCAGTCACGTATACTATTGCCAGCATGCTGCCAGCTTTTTGCGAGGCTTGGCCTTTTCTTCCAGTCTTGCAGACTAAAAGGACATTGTTATAGGTTTTCACACTTTTGAAATGCTTTCTTGCCCTTGTCAAGGCACATATCTACGGCCTGTTTTACGACTTTCAGGGATTGCAGGAAGCCTGACTCGTTGGAGGTTTCGACAAAGACAACAATCCACAGCGTTTGGCATATTGTGAATGGATATGTATTACCTAGATTCAGTTAATATTTGCTGCTACGTTTCACCCAGGATCACTCAACACAACTGATTTTAAAGCCGACTGTGTACATGGGAGTTTAGGGACTTAGTCAGTAGTATCGTCTTCCTTGTGTGGGTTCAAGCATTCTCTGCCGGTGCAGATAAAAATGTAAAAATAGCTATTGAACATTAAAGCGGCTTACTTTATGCTGGGATCCAGCAACAACGGACAGAAGCAAAGAAAGGAAGTTTCATAGGACCGCCCCAGTAGCTCTAGCAGGCTTAACTGCTCACTTCAGTAGTCAAGGAGTCGCCGGCTTCCCTGGAAGAAGTTTCGTGCCCCTTTATTCACAACCGAATTGCACAGCGTTGAAACCACGTCCTCTAGCTGATTAATGACTCCATAGCCACTGTCGTCCTTCTCCACACTTTAAAAATTTCTTTTAATTGCGCCCTCCATAGCGGATGGCTTCCTTGGCCTGCTCTTGGTTGAGAGATTTCAGTAAAACGTAAGTCTGAGAGGCTGAATTAAGAGGCTAGCAATATTCAGCCGTTCACACCCTCTCTGGCTACATTATCCTGCCTAGCGTGAGGCGTCGCGGTCAACGACCTGTCAAACGGAAGTTAAATGCTCGTGTTGATGGGGACAGGGGGGTAGGGAGGATTGTGCGTTCAAATCCTCATTAGTCGCTTTTTCGCGCTCAATCTTAAAGCGAGCACCTAAAAGGCAGAATCTGCTCTGATGTCAAAATACTTCACGACGGCTTCTCATATACCTTCTGGGCGAGCCAAACATGAACAGAGAATGTTGGAAACGCTGCATCTGAAGGTCGTTCAAAGAGCCGACAGAAAAAATGGTAAGGCCGACATCTAAAAATTGGCGGTCTAGTCAACCAAAATGATATGCAGAAAAGTGCACCGAAGGGCGAGAAACAATCAGGCCCATGGAGCTTTTGATGAGCACGATTGACCGTGAGATCACGATTCGTCGCGGCAATGCCAGACTTAAGGCGTGGCCCGGTCTTGTTCGACACTTCGAATCTAGGCTGCCTTTTATAGGTGC